ATTTCTGACATGCATTGTTTCATTATCATCTTAATTGGGAAATCAATTTACCATGTGGAATTTGGCATAACAAAACACTAATTTAGACCACTTCTGGTCTGTAAAAAATCTGTTGCTTGGCAGCAGTGGCAGAGAAAACTCCTGATTACTCAACAATTTGTACTTTGGTAACTCTCAATGCTTGCTCTATTAAAAACTGCTTTCAGTGTGACCACTGAACTTTTGTATCCTTCTGAACCCATAAGAGTTGGATCCATTAATTCAGGCAGACCAATCAGTAGGCTCATGCTGTTATCACAGGTAACATAATGTCCCATCCCAAATCTTACAAATGTCAGTGGTATACAAGATTATTTCTCACTCATGCCACATATCAATCACCTGTCAGTTGTCACATGGTTCCATGTCATCTTCATTCTGGGACCTCAGCTAAAGGAGAAGCCCTGACCTGGAACATTACCAGTTTCTGTTTCAGAGAGAAAAGAGAATGATGTGGAATTCTGCAAAACTCCTTGAGCTTCTACTTTGAAACTACATGTCATGTCCACTCACATTTCATTAGCCAAACCTGATGTAAGCAAAATCAGGAGGGCAGCCAACATTTTGAACAAAAACACAGTACTGGAACAGTATGGGTAGAGGAAGGAGAGGGAGCAGCATAAGTTAGGCAGAAAGCTCTGGAGTAGAATTGAGTATGATCTTTTTACTTCATTTCTCTGAGTCCTAGTGTCTGTACTCATAAAACAGAGTTAATGTGGCCAAAACTGCAACTTTCTCACAGATGTAAAGTTCAAAAAGTGTAACATATATAAAATAAGTCTTAACAATTCAAAACACTCTGCAAGGAAAAGGTATTATCATTTAATGTTAATTGTAGTGCTTTCCACACCTGACAGATGGCATGATGTGTATGTTATTACATTGTTCTTTATTCTTCTAAGTAACTTTATATTACAGGAAGAAAAAGTTTATAAAACTCTATCTAGGTAGACTCCAAATTCAAGAAGTAAAATCATAAGTAGGACCCCTATTGCTATACCTTCCTCAGACACTACTTCTAATGCATCAGAAACTACATAAGACCAACCAGTTGAAAATGTAATTACAAAGGGAAAATGCCTCAGCCGGTAAGATTCCTAAAACACTAAAATCCAACCAGAGCAGTTTTGAACATGGGAGATGCTCCTGCTGGAGTCAGAAGAGGCAAAATGAAACAGCCTCCTGTGAATTGTATCATAGCTGACAAAAGGTCTTATTATCTTCTATTGATTGGCCAGGAGTTCAGCTATCTTCTCCATGGCAGTTTCTACGACAATCTCTACAGAGCGAGAGCCCTTAACACACCACCTCTCTGCTACTACCTTAGGAAGTCAAGAAAATTGAAAGCCTTTGTACTTCCTTTTCCACTGAGAGCCAGAATAGGCTTTTCAAGATGGCCTGGACAATGTGTCCAATATTTTGCTTTAATTTTCAAGCCAGCTTGTGCATTGTGGCTTTTATAATATAGGTCATTTTCATTCCATTTACTCAGAGTAAAAATAACTTGCCTCAAACAGCTCGTAAGTATTTACTTCTTCCTAGGCTTTGGAGAGACAATGAATGCAGCCTCGGAGAGTCTCTAGTCCTAAGAGGGCACTTTGCCACCTGTAAGCTTGTCTATCCGGTCACCTAAAAGGGCAATTCTTAGGAGAAAGCTGGGGAAATGGCCTCCATGACCATTTATCTCATTTAACTCATCTAAATGTAACCATAAAAGAATGGTTGCTAAAACCCTATTTTGTTCAGGTAAAGGGCAAAGCTCATTTGGTTTCAAGGAAGACAAACTTCTCTTCCAGCTCCAGGGAATAAACACAATTAGCCCAAACCAGACATGGCCATCTCATTCTCTTCTCTCAAACATTGGTCTAGAAGTGTGTGTGTGGTAAAGAGAGAAGTGGTATAACCCAGGACTGAAAAATGAGACAAGGGAAGTCTTCTGTATGTGGTTATGGTGGTAATATGGGTACAGTGAGGGAATGACTTTCTAGGAAGGACTTTTTTTTTTGGTTTTGTTTTGTTTTTGAGACAGAGTCTCGCTCCATCGCCAGGCGCCAGACTGGAGTGCAGTGGCTCAATCTTGGCTCACTGCAACCTCCGCCTCCTGGGTTCAAGCAATTCTCCTGCCTCAGCCTCCTGAGTGGCTGGGATTACAGGTGCACGCCACCATGCCCAGCTAATTTTTGTATTTTTAGTAGAGATGGGGTTTTACCATGTTGGCCAGGATGGTCTCGATCTCCTGACCTTGTGATCCGCCCGCCTCGTCCTCCCAAAGTGCTGGGATTACAGGCATGAGCCACCGCGCCCGGCCTAGGAAGGACTATTTTTGAGCATAAAAGGATAGAATATCACACAGACAAGGTTTTTTAAGCCCTATCCCTTCTTCTCTTCCTTCCTTAAGATGTTGCTGTGAGGATACCATGCTTAGAGCTATGGAAGTCATCATGCATTCATAGAAACATAAGCCCAAAGATCAAAGTTCAAATGCTGAAGAAGGCAGAAGGAATGAGATAAAGGCATCTGCTCTAAATGTTGGCATTCACTCTACTGGGTTCTCTGTGCCTTCCAACTGGATGCCCAGTATTTAACCCCTGCTTTAAGCCCTGAGCTCGGTTCTTACATGCTAGGAGGGGTCCAATGTTTAGTCATTTCTCTTTAGGTGCTATCCTTCTCTCCAAGAAATGTCCCCCGGAGCTTATGGAACATATCCATGACAACATGGAAACAACCGAAGCCCAAGCACATTGCCATTACCTAATAGCAACAGCACCACAATGCAAACTGGCCTAGGGCCAGGCTTATACATGGAGCTAAACAGGAGCATGTCCAAGAAAACAGTGATTCAGACGTAAAAACCACTCAACATTATCAAGTAAGGCCTCACAGAGAAAGAAGCAGGTTGATCTTGCAGATGGCTCCTCATGGAGCCAATCTTTTGTAATAAAAAATTATATCAATGAGAAAGGAATCAAACCATCCCAAACGGCACTAGAACCAGCAGTTTTCACCCACATTCTTACAGGTCTCAGTAGAGAAGTGGGGCCAGGAATGGGGGCTATGCTGATTTCAATGAACAACTAAAAGGTGTGCCAGTCGTGTAAAGAGGACTCACATGGTTTCTGAGGTTCCTTCTATCATTTTTATAACTGTCCAGAGTCTATCCCTACACATAAAAAAAGGTAAGAATGTAAATATTTTCGACCATGATGTGGCTTACACAATTTTTCCATAGTAAATAGTGAGAATATTCACATTTTTAATTTTTAAAACTACTTTATTTTTCTGATAGAAAATAGCATAAGGTAAGATCTAGATATAATATTAATATGAAGTATTGAAGTTGATACTCCCATCATCCAAAATTATCAAATAACTAAGATGACATTAAAGTGTAGATGAAGAGGTTCACAAGCAAAGGGACAGATTCATTCTCCCAAGTGTCTCCTTAAAACTTTAAATCCATAAAACAAGCCAAAAAAGGATGAAAAAGAAGACAAAACTATTAGTTAGAATGCATTGTTAATAAAAAGTATGGTAGTAACAAAGAAAGTCTTCCAGAAGAAATGAAATAAACAGAAGGTTCCTACAAGTACTGGTCTCTAGTAGTAATAACAGACATCCTCTTGACAACTAGAGGTCTTTAGTCAAAGCCAAAAAGTTAAGGAGAGATTAATAATATATAGTCATTCCTCTGTATGTGCAGGCAATTGGTTCTAGGCCCCTGTGTATACCCAAATCTACACATACTCAAATCCCAAAGTAGGCTATGCAGAACCCACTGTATAGGAAAAGGTGGCCTTCCGTGTAGGCAGGTTTTACATCCCATGAATACTGTATTTTTGACTTGTGTTTGCTTGCTAAAAAGCCATGTATAAGTGGACATGTAAAGTTTAAACCCAAGTTATTCAAGAGTCAACTATAAGACAGTAGAAAAGAAAGAAATTTACCATTACTATTATCAGTTAATATTGTCTTTACCTTTAGAACACCTGACCTATTTGAGAACCAAACCACTTAGAGGAAGTGACCAGGATGTTGCAGCATTCATTGAAGACAACTACCTAAATCATCATGGTGCAATACATTATTAATGAAGACAGCAGGAATAATTGGATTGACAGGAACCGGAACAAACAGGCAAACAGCCCAGCTACCACTTTGCTTATTAAGGCTTTTGCAAACTGATGGAAGGGAGCCATGTGGACCCTGGAATGGATGGCTCAGATATTATGGAACTATACATACAGACCAGGTCAAGCTAACTCCCACCCTTCTGGCATGTAAAAGTAACAAGGATGTGCAATGATCACCACTAGCAGGTTGCAATGCTGAGCCTGAAAAGAAAAGGTCCTCACTTAAGACGGAGGAGTTGTTTTCTCTAGAGCAGAAATGTGGGCCACTGATGCTTGAGGCCACCATCCCACTGTAAGGGCATCAGCCCATGTGCCAAAGTTATGAGTCCTTCCATCACTGTGACTTTAGTAGAGACTGGGAATTGGCAATGCATGAATCAATCATTAAAAACCTGATCTTGTCAGGTCAAGGAGATAGCAGCTTAGTATGAGTTAATGCCGAAGTATCATTTGAAAACAGAATCCACCATGTACATTTAATTAAATACAAAGATGACAATCTCATCAAATAAGAAAACAGAATATGATATGCCTATGATTGATCTAGTGATTGTTATATACACAGCAGCAGAACATGGGATTTGATATGTCCCTATTGCCTTTGTTTCTTTGTTGTGTTCCATAATCACTTTCAAAGGTCTTGCTTTCTTATGCTACTAACCAATGTGGATAAACCAGGAGAACAGAGAACCCTCAGCAATAGATACTGATTTCTTGTAGGACTGTATAAGACCAGAGTCAAGTGATAGTTTTCACTCCTTAACCACATCTGCCAGGAATACGTTTCTCAGTCAACCTCTCACAGGTGACTTCATTAAATAGCTTACTTACCTTCACAGTAGGCAGAGTCTCCCTGGACAGAGATATAACCACTCTTGCACTCACAAGTAGCTTTTGTATTCCAGTTTTTGCACTCTGAGTTTTCACCACATTTAGGCCCTTCTGCACAAAAGTTATGACCTAGAAGAAATAAATAAAACTGTACATAAGAAAAGGAGGAAATAAAATAACTTGCCAAAATGAAGTATGTAACATTTTTTATTATATTTCACTGTGCAGGAAAATATACTTTGACAGTATGCAAGGATAAACTGGATAAGGAAGTAAAAGAACAGAAATAGGAAACTTTGAGTTGCCCCAGGCTTCAGAGGCTTTCCCCCACCCATACTCAAATTTGCTAAAGTTGTTTCTACCTGAAGGTTTTTATCCATGCTGATCCTGCATCTTCTTCTCACTACATTCTTACATGACTACTCTTTTTATAATTGTTTCCTTGTAAAATGTATAATACATAGAAAATAGTACATAAAATTAATACATATGAATATATAAAATAAAATGAATACAAGCTAATTATCAAAACTCCTTAATTATAGCTCCGCAATGAATCTCCTTCCAAGCCACTAGAGATAACTATCCACAATTTTGAGTTAATCACTCCCTTGCAGCTTTATAGAGTTTTACTACAGATTTGTTTTTATGCCTAAACAATATACTATTTCGTTTTGCCCATTTTAAACTTCACATAAGGGAAATCATATTGTACATATCTTTTATGGTGTGCTTTTAAAAAAATGTTCTACAGCCATAGGTTTTTGGGGAATAGGTGGTATCTGGTTTACATAAGTAAGTTCTTTAGTGGCGATTTGCGAGATTTTGGTACACTCATCGTGTGAGCAGTATACACTGAACTCAATTTGTAATCTTTTATCCCTCACCTCCTTCACCCCCGTTTCCCCTAAATCTCTAAAGTCCATTATGTCATTCTTATGCCTTTGTATCTTCATAGCTTAACTCCCACTTATGAATGCAAACATATGATGCTCGGTTTTCCATTCCTGAGTTACTTTACTTAGAATAATAGTCTCCAATCTCATCCAGGTTGCTGTGAATGCCATTAATCCCTTCCTTTTTATTGCTGAGTACTATTCCATCATACACACACACACACACAGACACACACACACACACACACATTTTTGTATCTACTCACTGATTGATGGGTATTTGGGTTGGTTCCACATTTTCACAATTGTAAATTGTGCTGCTATCAACATGCATGTGCAAATATCTTTTTTTGTATAATGACTTCTCTTCCTCTGGGAAGATACCAAGTAGTAGGATTGCTGAATCAAATTCTACTTTTAGTTCTACTTTTAGTTCTTTCAGGAATCTCCCCACTGTTTTCCACAGTGGTTGTACTAGCTTACATTCCCACCAGCAGTGTAGAAGTGCTCCCTGTTCACCCCATCCACACCAACATCTTTTTATTATTATTATTATTATTATAGTACTGTGTGCTTTTCTCTATTCATCCATGTGAATGCCTTTAGCATAAGTTCATCCATTCAACAAAGGATTACGAATATTATATAAACTTAGTTGATAAAGCAGCAGGAGGATCAGCACCAATTTTGAGACATTCTAGGGAGTAAAACGCCATCAGACTGTGCTTTTAAACACACTGCAAAATGAAAATAATTTGTGTGACTCACTTATTGCAATATTCACTTAATGGCCACAGTCTGGAACTGAACTCAAACTATCTCCAGGGTATGCCTATACTACAAATAAAGCTGCTAAAAACATTCTTAAACATGTTTCCTGGGACGTATTTTTAGCCACATGTTCAACATTTTCTTTACTTAACATTCTTTCTTATTCCCTGCCACTTTTTCCAAGAAATTTTTTTCTTCCTAATAGCCTTTAGAAGTTCCTGTGGTATCTTTTGATAGTGATTGTGCTCAATTTCAATTTGTCTAAATGTGTCTTTAGACTATCTTCATACTTAAAAAATAGTTTTACTCAGTACACAATTATTTTACCTCAACATTTTGAAAATGCCATTCCCTGTTTTCTGGCTACTATTATTGCTGCTGAGTCACTTATTAATCTAATAGTCATTCCTTTATATGTGGCAACCCCTTTCTCTGAGGATGATTTTAAGATTCTTTTTTTAATGTGTGTGTTAGGTTGGGTTGTGTTGTTTTAAGACAGTCTCACTCCATTGCCCAGGTTGGTGTGCAGTGGCACAATCATTGTTCTTTGCAGCCTCAACCTCATGGGCTAAAGCAATCCTCCCACCTTAGCCACTGAGTAGCTGGGACTGCCAGTGTATGCCACCAGGTCCAGCTTATTTTTTTTTCTTTTTTTATTTTTTGTTTTTTTGATAGAGATGAGGTCTCACTATATTGCCCAAGCTAGTCTCAAATTCCTGGGCCCAAGTGATTTCCCTAACCCTCAGCCTTCCAAGTGCTGGGATTAAAGACGTGAGCCACCACACAGTCTAGTTGGGGTATCTTGTCTGTTTTGTATTTTTCAGTTTTAATCTGAGATATTTAAGTATGAATTCATTTGTATTTAGGATTTGGGGGGGATGCTTGAATCTGAACAATGATGAAATCTTTCATCAGTCTGGAAATTCTTGGATAGTCTCTCTTCAAACATTCTCTCTCCATGTTTTTCTATTTTGTGTTTGTGGAATTCCAATTAGATAAATGTTCTTTCTTCCCATTCATGTTATTTAGACTTATTTTCATATCTTCTGTTTCTTTTTATTTATGCTGAATTCTGTATCATTTCCAATGTATCTTTCAGTTTATTAATTCTATCTTGAGTTGTCATACTCTCCTTCAGTCATGCATATCATTTTTAATCTCACTTACTGTATTTTTTTTAGAATCCTGATTCTTTTTTAATCTGCTTAGTCAAATTTAATAGTCTCTTATTCTTTTAATTTTAAATTGCCTTTTAAAAATTCTTTAAACATATTACACATGAATGTTTTAAAATGTTGTATACTGATAGTTCTAATATCTTTAGGCTGTGTGCATCTAATTCTGCCATTTGTTGTTTATGCTGAGTAGCATGCATGATGGCTTATTTTCTTGTGTTTTGGGTGATTCGTTTATTTTTAAGCTCATACTTTTTGGAATTTAATCTGTGGTAATTATTTCAGGTTTTGGTTTTAAAACTGCATTTCTTCAGACAGTTTTTGTGTTTCCTTCTGCCAGGTTTCTGAGGGAACTATCAACCCAAGATTACTTTCAACTACATTTTTGTCTTAGGGCTTAAAGATTGAGCTACACAGGTGGAATAAAATCTAGCACTAAGCTTTTAGGAAAGCAAAATTTTCTCCTCTAGACCTCCATCTAGAGTCAAGTCTGACAAGCAAGTCTCCTTGGGCAGAGTGGATTTTTCCTAGTTCATCCACTGAGGGATTCACCCTTTAAGGTCCTTAATTTATGTTTCTCATACTAGCCCCAGGTTGTCTCCTGTCTGCGTACACAGTGTGCATTAGAAGCTAGATTTTATACCACCAGAGACTAGAAATTACACTCAGAGCAAATGCCAATTCCACTGTACTGACTTATTTCAATGGAATCACCCTCTTTCTATATTCTGGTCTCCAGATTTTTTCCCCTTACTACCATCTCCACCAAATGTTCCAGAAAGTTATTTCTATATTGTACAGTATTTTAGGTGAACTAGAAGAAATAGGTAACATCTACTAAAAAATTTGTGAAGTTCAAATATGATAAAGTATATAAAGATGCTTTATCATCTTTAAATCAGTACTTTTAGTAAACAATAATTATGCTATATCACAAATGGTGATCCCATAGAAAACAATGGATCTAGAAGTCAGAGGTCTAATTTACAATGTAGGGTCTTCAGCTAACAAACAGTCTAAATCACTTTGCTTTTCTAGGTATGTATGTGGGAGATGGATGAAATTAGTAATTTTTAAACTGTGTTCCTCAGAGCCTTAGGCACAGATGAGTTGTTACACAGGGTTCAAGTTCTCTACCTCTGATACAAATAGAATAGTTATGCTTTCATATTTTTGACATACTGATTTTTTTTTTGAGAGGAAGTCTCACTCTGTCACCCAAGCTGGAGTGCAGCAGCATGATCTCCGCTCAATGCAACCTCTGCCTCTCGGGTGCAAGCAATTCTCCTGCCTCAGCCTCCAGAGTAGCTGGGACTACAGGTGCGCACGACCATACCTGGCTAATTTTTGTACTTTTAGTAGAGGTGGGGTTTCACTATGTTGGCCAGGCTGGTCTCAAACTCCTGACCTGGTAATCCACCCACCTTGGCCTCCCAAAGTGCTGGCATTACAAGCGTGAGCCACCATACCCAGCCCATATTGATCACGTTAATGACAGTTTCTGGCTTAAAAATATGAAAATCACTCCACTAAAGTCAAGTTAATTTCTTTCCGTGATAACATTCTAGAACTATTTTTCTTTGAAATAAAATTTTAAACCAGCAATATTTGGAGAATTCTTACTCTGAAAGATAATAGTTATTAAATAATAATATAAATTTCATGTACCTATAATAAGCCTGGCATGCTAGATGTTTTAAGTGGGAATAACAATATATACCTTTTAATATGTTGAGAAAGTTAAATGGGCTAATCCATGTAAAGCACTTGAAAGAGTTCCTTATACCTATTAAAGAGGTCAATAAATGGTGGTCACTAATAATGATGATATTTTTAACAATAATGACTAAAGTTCAAAAGAACTTAATGCTGTTATCCTCAACTACAAGATAAAAAGCAGAAACTCACAAACCTCTAGGTAGTTAAGTGGAGATGCCAGGGTTCTAAATCAGGTCTGGCTAACTCGAAAGCCCATATGCTTCTCACTATGTCATACATCCTCTCAGATAGCAAAACCTAGTGATGAAAAGTGAAAGACATAGCCACTCCTTGGGACATTAGAGAGTAGATGCATAGCCCTAATGAGTTACATCCAGCCTCACTACTTAGGACCTGTTAACTGATGATTGCCTCAGTCAAAAATCAGAGCAAGAGTCTAACTTGCTGGAAATCTGAAGCCTCTGACAGTTGAAAATATTTCTGTAAGAGCTTTAGAGCCTTGTAAGAATCATTAAAACTAGCAGTGCTTGATGTTTTTCCTACCAAAGGGGTACTCTTAGGCATCACA